TCTTAAAAAAAAAAAAAATTTCAAACAACTTTTGGGCCAAAGGTAAAATTTAAACTGAAACTGCAGAATACCTTGAAAATACCATATATGGTGGGATTGTAGCTAAAACTGTTCAGTAAAAAAAAAAAACCATAGAATTATATAGAATGTTTAGAATCATAGAACTATATTAATAAGAAAAGATGAAAGTGAGTAAATTAGGCATCCAACTCAGGAAGTCAGAAAAAAGAACAAACGAACTGAAAGAAAGCAGAAGGAAAGAAGATAAAAATGAAAATAATTTAGAAAACAGAAAAATAGTAGAATAAACTTCAGCCTTGGTGGTTTGGGTGAAAAACAGCTGTGAATTAGATAAGTCCATTAGCTAACCTATTTAAGGGGGCATGGGAGGAGTAAGAAAAAGGATCCAGCTATGCAAGCGTTCATAGGATTATAAGGGGGTTCTTTGCTCAACTAAGTGCAAATGAAATTGAAAACTTAGTTGTATATATTAATTTTAGCAAATGTAATTTACTAAAAATGATTTCAGGGAGAGAGAGAATCTAAATAGACTACCACCTGGGGAAAAATTTTTAAAAGTTCTCAGAGATGCAGTCCCACAAAAATACCAGGCTCAGATTGATAGGATAATGGCATCAAACCTTTTGAAGAACCTGTAATTCCACTACATTTAAATTGTTATAGAGCCCAGAAGAAGAAAGGGACCAAGTTATTTTTATGAAGCAAGTATTTTGACACCAACACCTGATGACAATTACATAGAAAAAGAAAACTACAGAGTCTAACATTCTTCCCTATGAATATTGGTGCCAAAAAAATTTAACTAGATCAGGAAACAGAATCTAGTAGCACATTAAAAGAATAATATACCATGACCAAATGGAGTTGATCAGAAATATAAAGATAGCTCTATATTGCAAAATCTATTAATATACTTTATCATGCTAATATATATATGAAATCTATTTAAATATATGAAAAGCATCCTATAGATGTCAAAGAGACATTTGTTAAAATTCAACATCTATTCTAGATTCTTTGAAAAAGAGCCCTCTTAAATTAAGGAAAAAATAGATAATCCCATATGACATTCAAATACATTTATCTTAGAGCGTGTGGTGGTGGCAGTTGACCCTGGAGCTAGGCACCGAGGCTGCTGGGAATGGGAGAGGGGCATTGATCTGCCTTGGTCCGGAAAAGAAAAGTTTATCTCAGCGCCCCAAATCAGCATCTTGCTTAAAGAAGACACTCTAGTAGCAAAGTGAGGTACAAGGCAAGGATGACCTGACCACTGTCATTATTCAACTGAGTTCAGAGATACCAGCCAACATAATTAGAAGTAGAAAATAGAAATATAGGTAAGAAAATAGAAGTGAAAATGGAAAGGAGGGGGTAAAGTATTACTTGCTGCTAATATCCTTATACAGCTGGTGATCCAAGAGAATCAACAAGGAATTATTATAAGCATTACGATAGTTCTGGAAAGAAACTAGGTACAATATTAATACACAGAAATCCATAGTATTCATATAGAGAAATAATGACATTTGTTAAAAGATGTAATGAAAAAACTATAATAGCAGCAACAACAAAAAATTTAACAGGGAAAATGTAAGGTATATAAAGGAATATTGCATTTTATCTAAATTATCAAATTTATTGGCATGAAGTTGTCTATAACATTT